GCTCTGAGTCGCGTCCAGCCTGTCCATTGGATAGATAATGGTGTAAAGTGGCCAAAGCATGCAGCTGACCACTGACCTATGTGTAATGCCTAGGTTAGGGGTCGCTGGAGATTAATTTTACTCCCTTGTACATCTTCATGGGGCAGCGTTTAACAGACAGCTTTTCCTTTTTACTTCTTACATATTTTTGAGTAATAAATAGAAGTGTCCAGTACATCAGTAATAAGTTCTATCAAGATTGTTGCTGAAACAGTTTTTCTAAGACAAATACTGACTTGTACTGGAATTAAGCCATGATTAATGACTTACAGCAATTTTATATCAAGCTGAAAAAGTAGTGAACACTTGTATCAGGAATATTTGAGTTGCACTGTTATTTCACATGTGAATTCTTTCTCCCATAGGTGCAACTAGTCTGTGTGGAATTATTGCCAAAATTATCCAAGGTGTGATTTTTAAGTTTTATCACTGTAGGAAACATTATTTGTAGCTTTTGATGATCTGTAGTGTAGTTGCTCACTCATTTTCATTCTGCACCATGCATGTACCTAGGGTTGTCCACCAACTGTAAGCATTTGTGTGTGGCTTGTAGTTTATTTTTTGTATAATCCTGTTCTGTAAGGTTTGCTGTATAATAAACTGAAAAAGCCCTAAACATAAGAGAAAATAAGGGATCTCAACTTTGCAGTAGCAACTTTCATATTGTTGAGAAATATAAGTATTTTATGACCCTGCAAAACAGTATTTTAATATATTAGGTATAAAACTGTTTTATCTCCAGTTTTCTCTGTTTTGTCAAGTCTTATGTGGTTGCTAGGTGACCTTAAGCAGTTTTTTATCATGTATAAAGTGATTGGTACACTATTGTTTAATTGCTTGGAAAGTACTCAAATATGACAAATTTGTTTATCTGTTTCTGTTGAAAGTTAACATTTTGTAAAGGAAAAATAAGATGGTAAAGTTGCGTCATATTGTGATATAATAAGTATATATTAAATCTTTTCCGTCTAATCACAATAAATTCTTATTAAATATTAAAATATTACAATAATTAACATTTAAAATATTAATATAAAGGAAAAATAGTTAAAGAAGTAGGAAGGCCAGTGGGCAAAAGTACTTTCTTGGCTTCTAGGTACATGTGGGGTTATAGGTGTATTATACGAGGCGCGTCCCAAAAGTAAGTTTCCCACTCGTCCCACAGCTAGCAAACCTTATATTGCGCGAAGCGACTGTGC